TTTCATTTCTGATTGAGAAAACCCAAACTCATTAAACCGCTAATCCTTTCGTGGTTCTAAATAATGATGAATGTAAATGAATGATAAGCATTAGCTCCTCCCTTATGTAAATAGGCATATTTCGTTTTGATTTTGTGACCTACAGCAATCCTATTCACCGCTAAATTATCTTAATTCAAGAAAAATGCTGGATGTTTACAGTTGTGATCAATATACCACAGCTCTGACGTTATCGCGCGTATTCTCGATGAACTTCAGCGAAACTGTGGAGGGTCTAACACAGTCAATAGTGAGATAGTTAATGGCATGAGTAATGAGTATCTCATGCTGATATTCATGGGTCCTCCAATTTCGCTAAAGCCTGCCGTGTGGTGCGCGCGATAGCGGGCGAAGCAAAACTGGTGATATAATAGACGCGTTCTTGTTCTTTTCGTTTATATCGCAAATGGTTGGTCTCAAGCATGTGATTCATGGGTAATTTAGAATTATTATGTTCTGTGTACGATTCCTTCAAGGCAAGAAAGACTGCGAAATCGTGGAGGTGTTCACAGAGCCAGATGTTCTTCGTCTTCTTCATTACTTCCTCAATGTTCTCACACATTTGATGCCGCTGGTCTCCTCCTGCACAACTCTGGATATCATTATTTTGGTTTCTCGACCTAAGTGCACATAGCTGGAGCATTCAGAAATGTTCTCTGCGTTGAGCGTGAGTAGGGGATGAGCAACCATGCCGTTTCCTATAACAAGCGTCTTCTTTATTTTCAGCCCCAGGCCGACTTATTCACTGGTGCGGTCATTCTCTCGACTTGCTTCATGTTCGGCGTTATGAGCATGATGCTGTCAGCAGAAAGGAGGTGGTGTAGTTGCCGACCGTTGACACTTACCTCCACATCCACACATTTGACCATGACGTCTCGATGCTGAAGTTGGGGCAAGTTGATATCGTCCCGTCGAACCCCTTTTTTACACCGATGACGACCCTTGTAGAATGGTGGAACTCGAAAGTTGCTGAAAAGGTTGCGAAAAATCCTTGTGTACTGAGTAGGGAAGCCCTTGTTGCCCAAGGCTTCGATGACCGCTTTTCTCTACACAGTTGAAGGCTTTTTCATGTCGATGAAACTGGGTCAAAGCGGCATCTTGTACTCTCGTGAAGTTCAATGAGTCACCTAACTGTGCGAATATGGTTGAATGTGCTAAAACCTTTTCGAAACCCTGCTTTTTCGCGTGGCCGTCTTATCCGGTGTTTTGTCGATCCTCTTGAGGATACTTCGAGCGAAAAGATCGCAGCAGAGCAATTGGATGATTGCTGCCAATGTCCCTGAAGTCTCCCGTCTCACACAGAAATGTAGTCCCCTGGTTCGAACTGGATAGGTGCCTCGCATTCCGAAAAAAAGCACGTAAAATGTCGAGCCAGAGTTTAGATGACAAGAGTTTAATAAATTCTCTAGATTACATAGGTTTTTTTTTTATTTTTTTTATTTTTTTGTTCTCTTGTATGTCTATTCTTATTTGCTATATATTTATTGCGCAAAACGATTCTTCAACTACTGATGATGACATGTCGGATTTTGAAAGAGAGAACTGAAGGAGTGATGCACCCATCCTGTTTTGATTGAAAAGCATGCAGATCAACATGGCCATCGGAGAATCCGAGTAGAGGTCGTCAAGTTTTCGATGGCCATTCGGGTTGCAGAAGAGATTGGATGAAGGTGATCCTGATCTTGTAGCTGGCAAAACTTCGGCGGGCATTGCGGATGCTCCTCCCGGCTTCTGCTGCTTCAGCTAACTGCTGCTCTTCGCTCCTTGAGATCTTCCTTTATCGCCTCTCTGCATAGCTTCGCAGGCTCGGGCGTGAGCTGTGAGTTGCCTCCAGCTGTGCGGCTCCACGTTATCGTATCAGGCCGAGTTTCTGGATACAGACCTCCTCTGGCAACTATCAAGCTCTCTGCCTTCCTGCTACTATATTAAGATGTTGAAAGAGCAATGGTAATCCTCATCTATGTTTCGGTAACGAGATCCTTCGATAAGCTGACAGAAGAAGTGAAGTGTTGATGCCAGTTTTAAAACTTCACTTCCTGAAGTTTGTGGTCTCTCAACACGCACTGAGAAGAATCCACTAGACTGCGGTCAGAATAAAGCAAGTATTTGATGTTCACTGAGTACATTTTGGGATACTACTCACCATTAGATGTCATTATTACTTGAGTACCTTTAACTTTTCGATTACATGAATTTTCGTGAAGTGCTATATGTTCTGAAATACTTAGCGCAGTACAATTTAAGTGTTTTGTCATTGATACTATGTACTATTTTCTAACAACAAAATAGTCACCAGCGATGTCCCCGTCCCACCCCACATAACACTTGTACATATGGTTGCTCTGGTATCAACGCGAGCCAGGCAACGGAATCGACGACTTCAGCGTTCTGGCGCATCTTAGCAGATTATCAGTTGCTATCGCTCCCAATCATGTACCACCAATGTCCCGGGACCGCCCCACATAACACTTTTAGGACAGACGCTCTTTTACCAATATGAGCGGCAAAACGAAGTTGGCGATGCTCGCTTTCTAGCCCCTCTTATCAGCTATTATCAGTCGTTATCAGTTCCTATCACGTGCCACTTGTGTCCCCATTCCACCCCCTACAACATATGTAACAACCACTGCGCTATCGTTACTGTGACTCGAGCTATGAATTTCCGTTCAAACATACACAAACACGGACACACGCTAGCCGGCCCGTTATATATAGTAGGATTATTAATCGCTGCCTTCTAGGTATAGAGTTTCGATAGTTTGATATTTGTAGCTCGACAGGTTGCGCGCTTATCCGCAGGGACCATTTCATTGATCCATTTTAGGCCACCTAGTCGAAAGTATAGCCGTATTCAAGCATTAGCGTTGGCTGATGTTAGAGTGGCTCGTTTTACTCGAGCGAATATGCGACTCGAGCAATCCGGGGTTTTGTGAAGTCAGCTCTCACTTTTCAGAAACTTGAACTCCTTGAAATGGTAACCAACTATGAGACGCAAAATCAGTACGAAATCAAAACTCTCAACGGAATGTCAGTAAGTATTGTGGAAAGAATTTTGCAGATGTTGTGTTTATAAACTTTGCTTCTTACATCCCAAGTGAGTAAATATACGCAGCTGAATGTAGTAGGCAACAGATTTCGCTTGAGGTAATCTATGTTCTATTGCCTAAGCAGATCAAATTGCTCAATTTTACGGATTTTTTTATTGACATCCCTAGATGATGGTAACTTCTCAAATGAAGTGATCCTTCCAGTTATTCACAGCCTCCGAGCGATCGAATTGCTGCTGTCGTAACTGTAAGGGAAGAAATCGTGGATTTCATATGGTCATCTCGGATTTCTCTGGAAGAGTGAGTAATCGCACTACAGAGTTTTGCATTTGCTAGAGCTAACACTATGTCTTGCTCTCAGCGGTCAGGATTGTCCTTACAAGGCCCTCCCAGATGCGTGATTGAATATTGAATGGAGCGGAACATTTCTAAACATCTTTCTATTTGATACGTGAAAGAGAGTGCATCAAAGGAGCTGGTAGATAGTTTGACATTTGTTAATGACTGTGTAAGGTTTTACTTGAAAGGGCAACTTTTGCTGTATCATCAGGTTATCAAACTAACAGAAAGTTTTGATCTCTATCTGAAGAGTCAGTGTGTCTTCTTCTTCTTTTCACCTCATCTTTGAAATAGAATTTCACCCATGTTCTTTAAAAAGGTTTTCCAAAATTTCCAAAGTCGACGAGATTTTAGAAAATGATTGTTGCAACTCAGCTCCGCCGTTCAGTAGAGGAAGATAGTCATTTCAAAGTAACTACATGAAACAACACATGTTCTTCCTATATTTTCAGAAGCTGGCCATCCTTTTCAGACCGCTGCCCGGCTCAAGCGGCCCTGCAAGTGCTGGATTATCGATTATCATATGTGCTGTGCATCTTGCTATTGTTGCAGGGATTGGATCACAGTAGAAGTACCTTCTGGGAACGAGGTGTGTGGATGAAATACCAAAGATAGAGACCGTACAGAGAAATTTTCGAGGGATCGAGGTAATTGCGTTGCAGTATAGTGCTTACGCTAGGAGTGGATTCAGCCACTGGTGACTTAGATCATCCAAGAGACGCGGTTGAACCCATTTACCGGTGGTAACACACTGCACATTTGTAACCCGTCATTTTGCGCAAGGGAGGCCCTTCTACTGCTAACATGATGAGCAACATCTAGACTTCGAGTCAGAACCAACGAATCGGAGAAACGCCGCCCTGTCGCGCATAGTATTACACTTTTCGAGGACGATTGAAGTTCCATTCAGGATCAAGCCAGCGTTGATTAATCATAGAGCTCGTAATGCTATCATGTAAGGGGGTCGTGAGTTCTGGGATCAGCAGGGACTAGATCATCGATGGCCTGTTGAGAGTAGATGAAGCTGTGCTTCGCGCTTAATGTCGCTGGATGCCGAGTGTATGACACATTCATGAACGAGTTCGCTCAGTATCATGTGCTTTATTTGCTGTACCGTGTAGAAAGCAAATATGAGTGTGACAAAAAAATCGATTCTGTTTTCGGTAATGAAACCGTAACTAAAGAAGCTATTTGTTTACTCTCTTCCTTGCGACCAAGTGCACAACCGGGCATCGGTGAAAAAAGATATCGATAATAATGTGATAGTGAAATTTCGATAAAAAGATGTCACATGTGCCCAAGTAAGCCCTTGAATAGATGTCAGATCAGAACCACGTCAACTTCTGCAATTGCATTGCGGGAAACAAAGCGTAATTCGAACTTCTGCTGTGAAACTTCCACAAATGTTGGCGGTGTGGAACTAACACGTGTAAACGAATGCGTGAACATTAGACTTCTACAAAAACTTACACGTGGCCGTATAGCGTCTTCTGACTACTGCGTTTTGTGAGCACCCTTTGGCTCTCATAAAGCCAGTGGTGTGCAAGAAAAAAGAAAAGGGTTACCCTCAACTTCTTATATACAAAAGATTCCTCATTCCAGATCGGCTATGTGCAGCAAAGATCCGGCTGCAAACTCAACTTCAACGTGTACGAGCAGAACTCTAAGTTCGCCTATATTATAGGACCAGGTTGCTGTGGATGTGGATGCTGCACTTGTTGTTTTCCTGAGAAAACTTTCACGGTGAATTTCTTTTATAATAAAGAGTTCTTGTCGTGGACACAGCCAAACTTAGGACGTGCCATGTCGCCAAATATAACATGGCGAAGATACATAGATTAGGATGGTAAAAAAGTCCTGAGCCGTTTGAGATTTATTTTGCTTCACTTTTTATTGCGCATACAATTTGATTTAATCAACAATATAATCACCATTGCTACTCACTACAGATTCCAACCTAATGGGCAGGTCAGCGATCCCCTTCTTCCAGAACTGGGTATACTGCGAGTAAAAGGTGTCGCTAACCGTCCCTACAACATATTAAATTTTTTGGTGATTTTTTTCGTCGCTGGGAATGCTTTGAAGGAGCGATATAAGTGACCAGTTTTGACCTCGCCATCGCGCGCATATCAAAGTAATCTTTAGTGGAGCTGAGCAAAGCCGAAAGTGTTGGCGGTAAAGCAGATACTCCCCGTAGCTCGTCTACTCATGAACATTCAGCATTTTCGGAAACTTACATGGTTCAGCGGTCAAATAGGCCGACACAGTAACTAATACAATCACTTGGACTGCCTTCTGTCGGCCATTCTTTGGCGACAATGGCACCCATCGGTGGGTGCCACTATGACCGTCGCGTGGGACAATGGCAGCCAATGGTGGGTGTCACCCTAAAATTTTCTTGTTTACCCATTTAAAACATTTTCAACATATCAGTAATTGTAAGGAGGCTCCGTTACGCCTATGTTCAGCATATTTTGCAGAAATGTTTGCTATTAGCTAATTTATATGAAATTTTGGGATATGGCACTTCACTCGGCGATGTATTGACTAGTGTTTTACATTATTAGGCTTGAGGTGAATTACAGATCAGGACCTCTACGTCTTTTAACAGTCTTAAGACACAAGGAGGAGTTTGAACTATATCAAAAATTGTACATTTGAATGTCTGGAGCTTTCAAACACCATCCCTTCAAAGTCCGAGATTTCTTTCCAAACTTCTACTTCTAATTCAAACAATACATGACCATAAAGCTTAAGACCGCAGTCATAGTTTATTTATTGTCATAGTCAAAATTTTGATAGAAAAACTGCTTTTAGGGACAATTTTTGCCGCATTTTCTGCGAGAGTTGGGCGCGCCAAAAAGAGGCGTGGTCCCACGAGCACGGTGCAAATCCGCTTAATGTAAACGAGTACTTGAAAAATGGTAGTTTTTTTTGCAACCCTCCCACCCCCCGCCCTTCACTATTCGAGGCAACAGGGCATTATTTTGACGCCCTGCAAAGCCACAACTTGGGTGGGTATATTCATACGAATAATCCATTGCTAACGTGCACTGTAATTGGAAAGCTCAATTAAAAGTTATGGAATAAAAGCTTGATACAACAGTGCGGCATCACACAAGAAGGCTTAAAATCAATTTTCGAGAATGACGGAGATAAAAAGGGCAGGTGATAGAAGCGGGAAAAAAAGATGATGATTGATTTTGAAAAAAGTAAGTTTTGAATAGCGCAATGCATGCACATATGTAAGGAAACGTCATTACTGGCGAATCATTTTTTTGTCCAAAACCCTCGAGAAGTAGTTTCCACCACTTGATATGCGGGTACTAACTATTAGGTTGGAAAGAAAGTCCTGCAACACTTTTTCAAATATTTGATTCTAATTTTATCTTTTTTGGTTACAATTTCTGACCGGTCTTATATCTACCATTAATGTCCGCCATTTGTCTCCAACGCTCAGAAATTCCTTGATGCTCCTTCACCAAAACTCAGCGGAGTGCGGGTCGAGGAAGGAGGCAACTTCATTTTCAAGTTGGAGTTGATCGTCTAATTACTTAGCATTGAGATGATGATTTGAGGTCCAGGATGGGTAGCAGTCATTTGTAGCTCGACCAAAGGAAAACGTTAAGAGAGGTAACAATTCTTGCCGCAATTCCACAATTTCTCACCGGGCTCATATCGGATCATGGCAATTCGCGATGTCGTGGAAGAAAGAATATTGTCACGGTGCGAAGGCTCTGGACGAGCTGCCTCGACCAACTTCCGGAATTGCAGCCTAGACCTCTATCTACACAATGGTGCCCATAACGAAGAATTTGTAGTGGAGCTTCCGTAAGAGCCCCCTCTGGAATGGAGTCTACGGCACGCTGGTGGCTAATTATAAAAATAACAAAAGATCAAAAGCACTGGTGAAGGTGAAACACGCTGTAGCGGTGAACGGCATGCTCAGTGGAGCTATTGCAAATAGTGTTGGTCTTTGACACGAAGCCACAGTTATGGAGACATTTGTTCTAGACAGCATTTATATCCACCTCCTGGATTGAAGCCAGAATGCTCTACCATTTCTTAGTTATAAATGTTGCCTGTGAATTTTTCAGGAAAAAAAAGAAAATTTTAGAAAGAGTGTTGCAGAACATTCTTTCCAACCTAATATATGCAATTAACAGCATGATCAAATCATGAAAACCTGCAGTTGAAATGTGTTGAAATAACATACAACGTAGACTTCATCCACCCGCAAGGGAGAATAGCATACGGCCCATACTCTGTGTTAATTATTCGAACGTAATCTTCACCTCTCTACGCGGGTTAAATCTCTTCCCTAAGTCTTGATTTATCCAGCTCGAACGGCTACTTCTGACTGCTGCGCAGCCTTTATTCAGCGTTCATAGTGGTCGACGAGATTGATTAAAACTGAGCCCAAATTGGCATAGTTTTTTTGAGAAATGTATAACCCTCGGTCCGCGATACTGCTTGACTTTTTGCTGTGTACTGCCTCCAGAAACAATCTCGATAAGTATGGGCACATGAGCTTCAGTTTTTATGATGGCACTACTGCCTAGATTCAAACAAAATCACTGTGTAAATCATTTCGTATTAGAACTATATCGCATAAACATTGGGATTCAAAATCGAGTGACGTAGCATTTGGTGTTGATGAATCTAATTTCGGAATGCGCCATTCGGTCAATCGTGTATTTTATCCTCCAAATAGAGTCAGTTATCAACCAATTCGCCGCTCGAAATAAGATGCTCGTTCGGATTGGGTCAGTAAGGATTTGGCTTCATGATCGAGTGATTGGTGCCATCAGACAAAATGATGGGAATCAGTCTGTCAGCAGCGCAAAGCTCTGCGCTGCCAACTAATATCGCACTCACCAACAAACGTCTACACCATAGATATCAAATTTGGTACTTTTTTTAGACGGCTTAATAGACTTTGACGTCGAAATCCGGAACAGTAGCCGAACTCCGGAGGAGGATTCCATAACAAGGTGTCGAATGAGCAGAAACATGTCTTGAAGGGCAGGCGGGTTTCCTAAGGAATGGTATGATGCGCGCTCTGTAGCGAATACTATTCCCTCAGCAGCCAAGCACAGCCGTACCGCCAACGCTCGCGACGCGGCACGCCCACTGAATGGCTGGACCCTCGCCATCGGACTCTAGCCACAGATTTTGACTTGTGATTCACAACCCAGCATTCTTGTGAGACAACTAGCCGCAAACTTTAGCCATTGGGGAGAGGGGCAGGGCATAGCGTTCGAAGTTAATGAGATCAGGAAGAATAAGTTTAGCTCCAGTATGAATATAAACCGCCAGATGGGGTCTCAGCTTTTGAATCGCCGCTGTCAGATTCGTGTAGGCGTTCTCGACAGTTTCTTTGTTTCGCAACAAAGCAAGACTCGGGTTGTGCCATTCATACGCCTGAATTTCTATATTTAATACCAATCGAAAAGATCTACATGTCGAGTCCATTGAGTCGACTTTGTGGAGAGACTCATTTGACTTGGTCTGGAACTAATCCTTTCTACCGGACGGGGACCACTTGGCGAGTAACGAGGGATCTCCAAGTAGGCCACCTCCAACGCTTGCTGAATGCTCCTCTATAGGAAGAACTAGTCCTTGTTCTTACACAAAGGGCGCATAAGTCCAAATGGTCCCATATATTTTCATATCAGTAGAGTATAATGTCTCTTTCTAGATATATTCGCAGAGTGACGGTTCACAGATAGGTGCGATAACAAAGGTATTCGGTGGTATGCTAAAGGAATATTTGACTGACGCGGATACGTTCAGAGTTACATGTAAGGACTTTTGATTTGGATGACTACATACTCTCATCGTCAGTGTTATTGGCACATTCTGTAGATAGCTGAGCGGCGCAATCTCATCCTCTCTTGAGGTCGACTCTCCTAACAGCGAACAGGGTCATTTTAAGACTCTAAAGGCCTGCAGAGCGGTATTCGCGTGACTCCGATTTATCTTGAATGTTTGCAGTGGGACTGGCTCCAACTAGCGCCTGCAATTCTCAAATTTTCAGCCTTTCAAGTCGCCTTTTCTCATACGGTCACCCACATATAAAAAAGAGACCTCACTCTCAAGAGTCTTTTTCTGTCGAGCTACATAGCACCCACAGCCTTGCATACGTGTTTGTAGCTAACCAACCACATGTACCAATTGTGAAATGTGCCTTTGTGCCTTTGAACAGGTTATTCTTAGCCGTAATTCCGTTCTATCCTCACTCTATCTTATTTTATTCCCTACTTCTAGTTCCTACTGACATGGCTGTGACTGCAAAAATGATTCTTATTGCTGCTGTTTTCTTAATCGTAAGCAATTTTCGCCAACTTTTTTCAAAGCAACAATCCCAGATCGAATTGGTAGGGTAGCAGTGGCCGACAATCAAATGCGGGTGCTGAGCTTGTTGTAAATGAAAAACAGAAGCACAAACCGTCAAGGCATTCCCTTTTTTCCTACTTGCAATAAGGGGGCGGAGTTTCCTGAAGTTTCTTGCTCCACCGCTACTTGCTACTACCCTGCGCGGATTTGAACTAGCCGCTATACCGTAATTCACGCCGCGTATCACTGGGTGTGCAACAATTTTCTCGTTCATAGTTTTCGAGTTGCCATTAGATCACTGTGTAACTAACTAGTGCCACTGCTGTTGGCACTTTGGAAACACGGCAACGGCACATCTCTGGTAATCGTTCACTCTATCCCCAATAAAATCTTCAAACCGACCTCATCTGGGATTGTTGTTTTAGATTATTTGAATCAGCATAAGCCGTATGTATTCCTCTCCAGCCGTTGTTATAGTTTTTCCCCCCTCACGTAGCTGAAGAAGAAGTAGATGAGGTGGGAATTCCCTTTCATTTTTCCATTTGAACCCATTGTTACGTGACACATATTCACAGCACCCCGAGAGAAAACGCAAGAGAGAGTAAAACGGCTGGAGTGGGACACCATACGGTTATACACAATAACAAGTCTTCAACACGTTTCAGGATTTCCTTGCATTCGAAGAGAACGCAGGAAAGAAAAAGAAATAGGTGAGGCCATCCATTTCATAGAGCATACCAAAACAAGCTCCGAACCCTCCGGTAAAGATCGGATGAAATCTCGTGGAATGTGATTATGTTTGGAACGTTGTGCTATCTTGAGATCAGTGCAGAAAATTTATCACTGACCAGATTGGTCCCCCGGTTACCGCCGGAACTTCCCTACGTAAGCTTTGCTTTCATCTTTCTGACCTTGTCCTCCCCTCCTCCTCCATTGCTCTCCTGCTGTCACAGCAGCACCTTGTGGAATGACCGAAAGTTTGCTAAGTACGTGTTTGTATAGCCGTTGTGGTGTTACCACAATCACGCACTTGCAAAACGATGATAGAGCAAGCCCTGCGACCTATCCGGATTCGTTAGCGGCTTTTTTATTCCATTAGCTGCCTTATCACTCACTTCATTGTGCGGACGGACCGACATACAGTCGAGATCCGAAAGTTGGGGTAGGCGTGTCATCTGAAGTGACGTGGACTTGATAGAAGTCGCGTAAAAAGTCGTTGTCAGCATGCTTTGCTGATATCTCGCGAGCTATGTTGGAAGCTCTTATCCACATAGATTCGTCAGTACACGTTCACTGTCCTTGTGACACGCCTACCCAACTTAGCGGATCTCGCGTATACCATACAGGCCAAGCAAACCACTCGGGTGGTATCCAGTAGCGGTTATCTAGAGAATAGATACTGAAGGTAGTTGCGATAGTGTTGGCATGCACCCTATATAGTTGCGATCTCCTTGTTCATCAAATTCCCTGCGCCATAACATCTTCATGCTTACCTCATTGCTCAACATGAGGGGTTGTTTCGCTCAAGAGACACGTAGGTTTTATCAGAGGCTCTCGTGTATAGCCTGGCCATGAGGACGATATGTCTTCTGACGTCACGCAAGCGAATCCAGCCGCTGACCGCCCGATCCAGTCCGTCCAAGTATACGGTCCGACCTAACTAGTTCCTCTTCGATCTTTGCAAAGAGCGGCGTCCCTCGCTGAGCTTCGAAATTTCTCAGAGTTCGGACTCCGTGATTTCCTCTGCTTTTGCGTGGTGGACTCCAAGTATTGGTCCTCTGCCCTAGCGCGTTGGTAACGCTGAACCAAATAATGCTAATTTCTGCCTCCGCCGAATCAAACGTCTCCGGGTGTTTCGAGTAAAGGAGACGCAGAATCGTTTTCTTTTCGTCTTTCTAGATAGTTTTTCTTCACTACTCCCTCATGTTCTATTTACGTCTTATACGACCACACGCCGCTCATTTCCTACTGCTAATTTCTGGAGCTAGTCATTTATCATCTCGACAAAGGTACACGTACCTGCAGCATTCGAAGCTCCAGCTACGTCTTCTATTTGACGTTCGCTGTTATAAGGAGATGCCGTCAGCAAAGCAGAGATGATATAGTGACCCAACTTTGACCTTCTCGTTCCAATTATGCATAACGCTGTCGAGAGTAGCGCAGGAAAAAATTGGGCGAGATGGTGTCACCCTGTTCAACCGCTCACTTGACGTCGATGATGATCTCCTTCAAAAACGGTGAAAAGCAGTTTGTTGGTTGCTCGGGGCTCCCTTAACATGTTGAGTTTGACTTGAGTGCGAAGTATGTGACTGCCGATAGCAGGGAGATAATACGAAAGTTGCAGATAAAATAGCGCGTAAAAAGTCGAGTCAGAGCTTTAGTAAGAACTGTTGATAAATTTCTTAGACATCCCGCTCCGATCTAATTGGGCTGGGTGGTGTATTGATATATAGATTCTTTACCGACAAGATGGGATGTCGGAATTTGGAAGAGAGAACTGAACGCTGAACGACGATGAATGCATCCTGGTTCAGATGACACGTGGGCAGGCGGATATAGGTGTCGAAAAGATCAGAGTAAAAATTGTGGATGAGAATTTCCATTGCTCTCCGGGATGCACTAGTTGTTTGTTCTGGAGCTCGGAGGCAGGTGATCTTTGTCCAGTACTGACAATGCTTCGACGAGAGCTACGAATGCTCCTCCCAATCCCCACTGCTTCAGCTGATACTGCTTCCCTTCGTTACGTGTAATCTTCCTTGAACGCCTCTCTGCGTAGCTTTCCAAGCTTGTACATGAGTTGGTATTGCGTGATGCCCGTGCGGTTCCACGTTAGCATGAGCTTGAGGGTTTCTTAACACTGCCGTGAAGATGTACGACAAAAAACGAAATCGGTCCGATCCTGTGTGGAACTTCGAAATCGATTGAAGATAATCTGGTCTTTCTCTTTATTGTCACAATGTACGACAGGAAACTCCCACGTACAACGA